ATTAAAATCAATTAAACAGTTTCGGCCAAAATTTAAAACCCCAAGTTAAAAGTCCAATTTAAAAACCATTTAAATAGACAGCCCCGCCTGTCAGAACAGTAGGGTCTTGAGGGCACAGCGAAAAACCCGGAGGTCAGAGATTGTACGTATTTCTGGGGGCAGTTCATTCCAAAGGGCAGGAGCTCCCACTGGGAAGGCTCTCCTCCGGGTGTCGCCAACCGGCATAATTTGGCCGACGGCACCCTGAGGAGTCCCTCTCTGTGGGAGCGAACTGGTCGGTGGGAGACTATTGGTGGCAGAAGGTGGTCCCGTAAATACCCTGGTCCTATGCCATGGAGTGCTTTAAAGGTGGTAACCAACACCTTGAATTGCACCCGGAAGACCACTGGGAGCCAGTGCAGCTCGCGCAGGAGGGGTGTTACATGAGTGCAATGAGTTGCGCCCATAACCACCCTCATGGCCGCATTCTGGACCAGTTGGAGCCTCCGAGTGCTCTTCAAGGGGAGCCCCATGTAGAGAGCATTACAGTAGTCCAGCCGGGAGGTGACAAGGGCGTGAGTGACCATGTGTAGGGCGTCCCGGTCTAGAAAGGGACGCAACTGGTGGATCAGGCGAGCCTGATAAAAAGCCCCCCTGGCCACGGCCGTCATGTGCTCTTCTAAAGACAGCCGTGCATCCAGGAGGACACCCAGATTGCGAGCCCTCTCTGGGGGGGGGCAAAGATTCACCCCCAATAGTCAACAATGGCACCAGCTGACTATACCATGACACCGGAAGCCATAGCCACTCGGTCTTGGAAGGGTTGAGTCTGAGCCTGTTTCTCCCCATCCAGACCCGCACGGCCTCCAGGCAGCGGGACATCACATCAAGGGCATCATTGGGGTGGTCTGGTCATGTATACAACGAAATTGGTTAAGCCTCTTAAAATTGAAAGGACTGTTTTGCGGCACAGCAAACACCTGCAAGAATTTTGACTCCAATAATGTTTTTGATTCTTGAAGCTGCCGTGATCATTGCAAAGTTAGTTAGCTTTAAGATGAGTTTATCCAGATTTCTCCATCTTGACAACTTTAAGAGGTTGGATTTGGACTCCCAGAATTCCCCAGCCAGTATGCATTTTTGTCTCCAAAGCAGCAATAAAGGTATAAAAACTTCTGTTTGGATTGTAGCAGTTCTACCTACATGGGAGTTGTAAAAATAGTACATTTCTACCAGTAGTGGGTTTCAAATCCCGGGGCTACCGGTTCGCTATCAGTAGCGTGCGGGCGTGCGCACTCGCTTTCCGCAGAGCATTTTTGATGACGTCTAGGCGGGTGGGCAGAGCCTCCCACCACCGTCACTACTGGTTCGCCCGAACCAGGGCGAACCGGGAGCAACCCACCACTGATTTCTACTCTGAAAAAAACAGCAGATCATCAAGAGAGCTAGCCCTAAACTGCTTTTGCTGACTTTGTTGTTTTGTGTGGAAAAATAGTCAACCAAAATAAAGGTTTCCTTAATTAAAGCTGAAGAACACTTTTTAAATCTAGGATCCTACAGATATAAAGGTAAAAGTTTCCCTGTCCAATCGTATCTAAGTCATCTTTGAGTTATCTTTGGGGTAGTGTTCATCTTTGTTTCTTAGCCGAGGGAGCCAACAACGCTGGCTCCAGGGTCATATGGCTAGCATGACAATATGCTGCAACCCACAGCATGGGACAAAAACCACAAAATGCTGTTACTTTTCCCACCAAAGGGGTACCTATTGATCTACTCACATTTTGCATGCTTTCCAGATGCTAGGTGGGCAGGTGTTAGAGCAAGTAACAGGAGCTCGCCCATTGCAAGGCACTCAGGTCTCGAACCTGGGCTGTCGGCCAGCTGACAAGCTCAGTGTCCTTGACCACTGAGCCACTGCATGCCCGCCCTACAGGTATATAATATTTAGGGAATGAAGGTTTGCTTGGATTCCACGGGGAAGAAGTCCTGAAACATTGTGGGTGCAGACATAGAGCCACTGTGGACAACTTCCTAAATCAAATGAGTCCTTTTCTGGGATCATGTTGCAGCAGGGGAGGGTGCTCATACAATCCTAGGAAAACACTTTTTCTTCTCTGAATCCATAGTGCTTCCCAGCTCTATACTTACTTACTTACTTATTTCATCAAGCATGTATTAGATAACAGATATAAATATAAACATGATTATGAATACAGGATATGGATATGAGTAAATGGGGACAGTAGGACAGAGGCGGTAGGCACGCTGGTGCGCTTATTATTTAAAATTATCATTTAATAATTGTAAACTATTTTAACTTATGTTGTCTTGTGTTTTTAATAGGCTGTACACCACCCTGAGTCCTTCGGGAGAAGGGCAGTATAGAAATAAAATTATTTATTTATTTATTTATTTACTTACTTACTTATTTATTTATTTATTTATTTATTATTTATTTATTTATTTATTTATTTATTTTATTTATGCATGCCTCTTACAGATCTCTTAAGAATTTGGTGAGGTTGACAGTGGATAGTCTAAGGTTAAAGTTTTGGGGGTTTGGAGAAGAAACCACAGAGTCAGGTAGTGCATTCCAGGCATTGACCACTCTGTTGCTGAAGTCCTATTTTCTGCAATCGAGTTTGGAACAGTTTACCTTGAGTTTGTAACTATTGTGTGCTCGGGTATTGTTGTGGTTGAAGCTGAAGTATTCATTGACAGGTAGAACATTATAGCAGATAATTTTATGTACTATGCATAGGTCAGACTCAAGGCAGCGAAGTTCTAAGTTGTCTAAGCCCAAAATTTCAAGTCTGGTGGCATAAGGTATTCCGTTGCGAGCAGAAGAGTGGAGGACTCTTCTCGTGAAATATCTCTGGACTCGTTCAATTGTATTCATGTCTGATATGCAGTGCGGGTTCCAGACAGATGAGCTGTATTCAAGAATTGGTCTAGCAAAAGTTTTGTATGCCCTAGTTCGCAGTACATTACCGTAGAAGAAGCTACGCAAGATTAGGATAACAACTCTTAATGCCTTTTTGGCAATGCTGTTACAGTGAGCTCTGGCACTTAAATCATTAGAGATCAGTATTCCAAGGTCCTTGACAGAGTGAGGATCGTCTACGAGGTCATATCCGCACAGCTTGTATTTTGTGTTCTGATTTTTTTTTGCCAATGTGTAAGACAGAGCATTTGTTGGTTGAGATTTGGAGTTTTTTTTTTTTTTTTTTAATTTGATTTATATGCCGCCCTTCTCCAAAGACTCAGGGCAGCTTACAATGTGCTCAGCAATAGCCTTCATCCTTTTGTATATTTATACAAAGTCAGCTTATTGCCCCCACAAACTGGGTCCTCATTTCACCTACCTTAGAAAGGATGGAAGGCTGAGTCAACCTTGAGCCTTGGCGAGATTCGAACCCTGCAGTAATTGCAGGCAGTTGGTCTTAATAACCAGCTTAATAACAGGGTGCCTTAAACCCCTGTACTACCAAGGCTCTTTTGTTGCCAATTGTTTGACCATTCTGACACATAGTCAAGGTCTCTTTGTAGGGTAGCAGCATTGTTGATGGTGTTGGATAGTTTTACATACAGGTAATCCTCAATTTACAACCACATTATGGGACCGGAATTTCCATTCCGCAAGGCGGTTGTTAAGACAGTCATACCCGAATTTACAACCTTTTTTGCCGTGGTTGTTAAGCGAATCACTGCAGTCATTAAGCAAATCTAGCACCACCACCACCCATTGACTTTGCTTGTTAGAAGTCAGCTGGGAAGGTCAAAAATGGTGATCACATCAGCCCAAGATGATATGAGAAATACATGCTGGTTGCCAAGCGCCCAAATTTTGATCACACAACTGTGGTGATGCTGTGACAGTCATATGTATGAGGACCACTTAGAAGTCACTTTTTAAATGCCGTTGTAACTTCGAACCATTGCTAACTGAATGGTTGCATGTTGAGGACTACCTGTGTTGATATAACTTTAAGTATTTCTTTGAGGTTCTTTGGAGCTCCATCACTTGAGACTTTCAAGAGGAGATTGGACTGCCATTTGTCAGAAATGGTGTAGGGTCTCCTGCTGAGCGAAGGGTTGGACTAGATGACCTATAAGGTCCCTTCCAACTCTGTTAATCTGCATTTGTATACTGTAGAAACATAGAAGAACATTGGCAGACTTTTCTCATTACTTGTTGTGGCCCGTCAGTGGCCTGTGCAGCTAGTAGCTGATTCCGACAGTGAGGAGGCTGGTGTGGTGCTGCGCCAGCAGCCTGTGCACATGGTACTCAAGTCAGACAATGAGGAGGCTGGAGAAGATGTGATGTCAGTGGCAGGGATTCAGCCAGGGCCTTCAGAACCTCCAGAAGCTCCCATAAGTGAAGAGGAAGAAGAGGAGGAGCCTCTTCTCAATGCATGGGCGCGCAGAGCTGCCAAAAGGCAGAAGTGGCTCCTCAGGAGGAGGTCTCCTCGAGAGTAAGGCTTGGGGCTAATTGGCCACTCCCTTAGCCTATTTAAGGAAGGACGACGACTGAGGCAATTTGCAGGGAACAACTTCATTCACTCTCCTTCGCATCCTGATCTTAGTTCTCTTATCAGTTTCCTGCAAATTGCTTCTGGGCTTTCTGCCAACCATAGTAAGATTACGATTATTTATTCTTTGGATTCTTGTAGGCTGTTAAGAAAGTTAATTAACAGCCTTTATTTGAAAAAGACTAATTTAATTTAGTAAACTAAGGTTTGTACAGACTTTGTGTGTGCTACGTTCTTTGGGGTCCGTAGCTGGGGCAGAACATTACTAGGACATGGGCCATTACAGGTGGAATGGCCATCAAAATAAAAATGCAACTTTGGGATAAATTATGTTATTTATATGTTTAATCATTGGTTGTGCTTCACTTTATTCCTGTGTTGTTTTAACTGTTAGACACTCAGAATTGTGTATTTGAGATGGGCGGCCGTATCGATTTATTAAATAAATAAATGAAATTGCAACAGCACTCATGTAAATACTCTTTTCAGGCAGATAAAAAATTCCACGTCATCTATCAAGTAAGAGAAACCATGTGTCCAATTGCTGCGGACAAGCCTTGGCAAAACTGTGATTTTTCGGGAGGAGTAAGTATTCATTCTTCCTCCTTTGAAGTGACCAGAAAGAGGTTCATGGGGGAAAGCAAGAAGAAAGAGAGAGGTGTACGGTATATAGTGCTGCCAGGATCACCATATGCAACGAGACAAAAGATGTCATTAAAATAGTCTTGTGGAGAAATTGCATTTTGGCACCAGCCTCAAGGTTGGGTACTATTAGGTGGATTTCTTGGCAATTTTCAGACATGTGGACTTCAACTCCCAGAGTTCTCTTGCTAATAGGCTAGCGGAGGAATTCTGGGAGCGGAAGCCCATATTCCTCAAAGCCGCCAATTTGGCCTATATTGTCATGTGACTATTGAGGGGAACAGTTGGCCCATTAAAAAATAACCCCACCTTTTGTGCCCAGGTGGTGTCACCTGACCCTTAAAGGCCAATAGAAAGAAAGAAGAGATTTCTATCGGATTTGGGTGGGAAAAATTTAGATGTCTTATCTTGGCTGGAATCTAGGATGAGGGGTGACTTCAGGCAAGGCTGAAAGTTATTGAGTTAGAATTACATTAGGAGCTTCTTTATTTAAATTCTATCATCTATCTGTTCTGACCCAGCCTTAGCAGAAACAAGAAACAGACTCCTTGTCACAAAAAAACCCTCTTTATTTATCTCCTGTGAATTAATGGCATTCACACACCAAAAAGTCCAGGCAATAGTCCTTCAAAGAGTTAACTGCAGTAACAGACCTTACAAGTTCCTTGCGATAATTGCCAGGCTGTGAGCTCCCAGCCTGCAAATTAAGTTCTGGCAAGCAGTCTCTGAGGCACGAAAGGCAATGAGCAAAATTTTCAGAAATCCGAACTGTTGTCTTCTATGACCATCACTCCCCTTTCCTTCTATTTATTCCCCAGCCAGGGAGGGGACATTCAGCATCCATGTGTGCCTTGCTTCCCAAGTCAACTCCTTGCCCTCAGTTGTTCTCCTCTCCTAACAGCTCTGGGCATACATGCATCTGGAACAGGCCCCAGCTGTTCTTCCTCCCCACTTATCTCAGCCTTCAAAGGCAGCTGCCTTTCTGGTGGCTGGGAAATGTCGGATGGCTCTGGCTCTATCTCTGCGTCCGATGCAGAGCATCCATCAGAGCCTTCCCCAGACTCCAGGACTGGCCCAAGTTCCTCCCCAACCTCCTCATCGTCTAAGTCTGCCACCAGCTCTGCTGGCAGCTGGCAGGCCACAACACTATCTATCTGTCTGTCTGTCTGTCTGTCTGTCTGTCTATCTATCTATCTATCTATCTATCTATCTTTCCATCTATCTATCTATATCTATCTATCTATCTATCTATCTATCTATCTATCTATCTTTCTATCTATCTATCTATCTATCTATCTATCTATCTATCTATCTATCTATCTATCATTATCATCATCATCTATCTGTCTATTCCACTAGGCACATCCAAATGATATGATAACAAATGAAGATTACCATCTACCCAACTGAGAAAATACAATGCTTTATTGGTCTCCCCAAAGATCTATCTGCATGCGTTCCATCACACATTATAAAAAATATAGGATCTTAACTGCAATACAAGAAGTCCTCGACTTACAACAAAAGTCCTCAACTTTTAACAGAGACCGTTAAAAGTTACAACTGCATTGAAAAAAAGTGACTAATGATCGTTTTTCACAGTTATGACCTTTCCAGTATTCCCCATGATCATGTGGTCAAAATTCAGATGTATTTTATGACCATTGCTGTGTCCCAAAATCATGTGATCACTTTTTGCAACCTTCTTAACCAACCTTCAAGCCAGATTTACTTAATAACTGGGTTACTAACTTATCAACTGCTGTTATTCACTTAACAACCGAGGCAAGAAAGGTCGTAAATGGGGCAAAAGTCACTTAACAAATGTCTCATTTAACAAGAGAAATTTTGGGCTCAGTTGTGGTCATAAGTCAAGGACTACCTGTATTTAAGTATAGGCAGCACTGCCAACCCCTTGACAGATTATCAAACAATATCAAAAAGCTATGAAATGTGATGAATTCTACTTCTTAACAGTGGAAAGTGAATATACACAACTCCTTGGCAACTCCTGTGATGTCCCACTGAACACATAAGAGTTCAACTGATGTTTCTCTTTTCTTCTGTCACAGGATTATGGAAACTGTACAGCTATCATTGATATTGCCTCACAAGAGTCAATATCACAGGATTGCAAATTTGGCCCAGGTGAGTAAATTTTAAGTTAGATTTTTTTTAAAAAAAAATATCACCATTTTCCTATCCTACTCTTGATGATAATGGAGGGGATGGAGGGAAATCAGTGATCTGATTTAAACCAATACTTGTGAAAGGAAAAAAAATCAGGAAAGGGTGATACTAGAGTAACTCCACCTTCGTTTTCCATTGTGTAACTCAATACATTGTGGGCCAGGTGACATTTAAGAAGTGGATTGCTCACTTGCCAAATAAGGAATTGCATATTGTTGAAATAGAATGGGGAAAAACTGTTTGGGATTTTTGAACAACAATAAAACAACCAAATGGTTTAAAGTTAAGGCTTTTAAACCATTCAGCCCTTTATCATTCTCCAAAAATTCCTACATTAAGATATTACTCCCACAATTGTTTTTATTGGGCATAGTCAAGGGTTTCACATTGGGTGAAGTAAAGTTGATATTGTATATGATTACAGCAGCGAGATTACTGATAGGTCAATATTGGAAAAGTGAAACTATGCCTACTGTTGAAGAATGGACTTTGAAGATGGCCAGTTTTGCAGAGATGGCGAAGATTTCAGCATATTTAAAAGATCGGACACAAGAGACTTATGCATGGGAGTGGAAAAAGTAGATAGACTACGTGCAGAACAAATATCAAACTAGGAAATATCAGATAGCTTTTAATTGAAAGTATTATATAGGGATAGAATAATAATAGAATTTTGTGAAGATGTGGAAAATATACAGGGGGTGGAGGGGTTCAAGTTTTATAAAATGTGATTTTGATATGGATTATATTCTGTGGAAGTCCTGGGGGGATGGGAGGGTTAGGGAGGGTTAGGGGGGGTTAGGGAGGGTTAGGGGGGCTAGGGAGGGTTAGGGGGGGTAATTGGGGAGAAAATGTATTTGTAAAACTTTTTCAATTAAAAAAAAAGATATTACTCCATAAAATTCCCATGGGAAAAGTAAGTTCAATTTTAATGATGAGGGATTTTAGAGAGAACAACGGATGTCTTTTCCCTCAATGCCTTTCCTCCTTTCTCAACTTAATCAACCCAAATACCCTTAAACAACAATTTTTTAAAAAGCTAATGTAGGTTGCTAGATGTTCTTCTCCACATAAGGTTTCCTGCCTAAGCAGGGGATTGGATTAGAAGACCTCCAAGCAAGATCCCTTCCAACTCTGTTATTCTATTCTATTCTAAACACACACCCTTGCTTATCATAGCTAAACTTTTTCTCCAAAACTTGGACTAATGGAGATGGGTGAAAAAGAAATGAGATTTTCGGTCACAACTCCTTCACTTTCCACACACAAACAGGCTCCACTTTTCAATGCAGAAATCAATCCAGCTTTGTGGAACATTGTATTTTGGCTGCACTAAAGTCATTGTTTTGCTGACCAAATTAAAAATGGAAAAAAAAAAATAGAGCTGGGTAGTCACTTTGCCAACCACAGTACATAGGGCAGGGGTGAAATCCAGCAGGTTCCAACTGTGTTATTCTGTTTCTTTTTCTTTCTTTTTTTAAAAGTTTTTATTGTTAGAAAATTATAATACAATTCCACCTTTCCGGTGTCATGGTGTTAATGAACACATACATATACATATACATAATATTTACTTACTATTTACATGGTATTACCTAATTATCTTAACTTAAAGAGTACTAACCGTAGGAGTTCTTACTTATATCATATTCCATTTTATTCCTACTGCCTGTAGTACAGCTCATTTCAATATACCCATTTAATTGATCATCTGATTAACCTTTAGCTCTCTTACGCTTCATTTCGATTTTCTTTTCTCTAACCACTCATACGACATATCCCACACGCTATAGTAGTCAGTTTCCTCTCTTTCATTGATTTCTAACGTCAGTTTGTTCATTTCGGCGCATTCCATTATTTTCCTAATTACATGCTCTTTGGGTGGTAACTTTTTCTCTTTCCAGTGTTGAGCGAAGGAGATTCTTGCTGCTGTTATTATATGTACAATAAGATACTTCTTCTTTCTTGCAATTTCTGTCTTCAAGATTCCCAGGAGAAATATTTTTGGTTGTAATTCAATAGTATCTCCTATTATTTCCGACAACCATTTACAGATCATCCTCCAAAATTCTTTGGCTTGTGGACAGGTCCACCAGCAATGATAAAAAGTACCTCACTGGTGGCCACACTTCCAGCAGTTTGGACTCAAATTTGAGTAAATTTTGGCAATCCTGGCTGGTGCTAAGTGCCACCTATAAATCATCTTGTATTGGTTTTCTTTATAAGTTGTTGCCCTAGTCATTTTGAGATTGTTGTTCCAAATTTGATCCCACTCATCCAGATTTATGGTTTGTCCAATATTTTTAGCCCATGCTAGCATTGGGTCCTTAACCACCTCCTCTATCAAGTCGTACTCCACCAAGTAATTATATAATTTGGCCAATAATTTATTATCCGTGCCCATCCATATCTTGTCGAACCCATTGCTGCCTATCTCTATGCCATATTGCTCTTTATCTTTTTTATATCGTGATTGGATTTGTGCATATGTTCACCATTCAGTGTGGGTGCCCTGTTCTTTCAATTGTTCCATTGTTTTGAGATTCCCTGTCCCATCTAGTATTAATCTAGTATCTAATGTTATTCTGTTTCTTTCCATTTATCAGTTCTAAAGATTTGTAATATATATTGGTGAATTCAGTCACGAGAGTTAGTCCTTCTCCAGCAATCCCTGTGCAAAATGTCTGTGCAGGTGCATCTCAGATTGTTAAGCGACATCATTGAACTAAACTTTTTAAAATAAAAAGGCAGGGTTTGCTTTTAAAAAAAAAAACTTTGTGGTTTAAAACATGTTCACAATGTAATGGTGACACCTAGCTGTCAGCAGCATTCAGTGGCCAGGATATTGTGTTTTCAAAGTTAAAATTCAAAAATGACCCAAAAAATGCACTTCTGCCTCTACAAAAATTCCTCTTTGTGCTTGGATTAAAAAAAGGGACAATTAGGACATCTTCTCCATCCCTTCTCTCCAACTCTATTAGAGATTTGATCAGCTATTATCGTATTTTTCGGAGTATAAGATGCACTTTTTCCCTCCTGAAAGAGGGTGAAAATTTGGGTGCGTCTTATACACCAAATGTAGCCCCGCCCCCCCGCTGGTTCCCATCCTTTGGCCTCTGCCTCCCAGCAATTTCATAAGGTTGCCAGGTGTCCACCATTTGAGCGGACAGTCTGCTTTTTTCACATTATGTTCACTATTTTTTTTCACAAAATAGTGGACATTTTTTTTATTCAAAAGCTTTATGATGAAATTAAAATGTAATTTAATATTTTACATATTATTATAATATATTTGATGTTTTGAATTTTAAGTAAAGTTTTGAAGTGATTATTTTAATACGTGTTAAAACGTTTGTAAAAAAATATATAATTTAATTGTTGTTGTTGTTTTTTTTTTACTACTTCACCACCACCACCACCCCCCGCTTGTCCGCTATTTTTTGGAAGCAGACCTGGCAAACCTAGCAATTTTTCTCCTTGCAGCAAACAGCAAACAGCCCATTTCAGCTTCAGCACAGCCTGATTAGCACAAGTAGTTGATTGTTGGTTGGATCGGCCCCCCGACCCTCAGCTGTTTCAGGCTGCAGGGATTGCCGTTGCCTATTGCCGCGAGGGCCTCCGCTGTTTGCTACAAGGAGGCAAATTGCTGTGAGGCAGATTTTTTTTTTCCTTGTGCTAATCAGGATGTGCTGAAAATGAAACTAAAGCAGGCTGTTTGCTGTTTGCTGCAACGAGGCAAATTGCTGGGAGGCAGCAGCAGAGGCAGAGGCAGATATTTTTTTTCTTGTTTTCCTCCCCCCAAAAAGGTAGGTGCGTCTTAATAGTCCGAACCATCTATAGAATTACCGCATTTTTCGGAGTATAAGATTTTAAAATTCAGGAAAACCATGAATTTGAACAAGTTCATGGTTCAGCCCAGATACTACAACGTGGAAAAAAAGTTAAATTTTGCAGCAACATTTGAAGCATAGCAGGTGATAAGTCTCCCACCTTACTGTCACTTAGATCCTCACAATCTACGCAGTTATCTGGTGTGGGAAGCATAGGTTTCTGTGACTTTGAAGTTGGAACTCTTCTGGGAGGGGGTGCAATGAAGGGCCTTGTGTTCTGAAAGGGTGTTGGGCAACTCCCCTTGGGGCTCCGGCTGGCCCCTGACCTTCGCACTTTCTGCCGCGAATTAAAAATTTGGTTATTCAAGAGGGGTTTTATATGGGTTTTTAATTTTTATCTGGTTTAATTGGGTATTTTAACTTTGCACTGTGGTTATTGTGGATTTTATTGTTGTGAGCCGCCCTGAGTCCGTTGGAGATAGGGCAGCATATAAGTTAAATAAAACAAAATAAATAAAATAAATAAATTCCTATTGTGGCTAATGGCGTTCATCCTATGCTGGATCTTGGGTGAGGGACTGCTTGTTCTAATCCTACCATTCCACCTTTGTTAGCTGTCAAACCTTGCTGCAAGGAGTTTTGAAATATCCCGTCTTGAATTGATTTCCGCCTGCAGTATTTGCTTTGCTTATGAATAGAGCTATCTAGATAGTTGGTTCCTTCTTTCAATAAACTCTTTACCTCCTTAAGTGCTGGCATCTACTATGGGCTATTAAGAAAGGCTTGGGGGCTGATTTCAGTCTTTAAGAGCATGTTTCTCCATTTAGGGAAATATAATATTCTGCCTTTTTTTAATATTTCCCAAAATATTTCATTGTTGGGGGGGAGGCTTCCCACACTACCATATGTGCAAAGGTTAAACGTAATAAACCTCAGTGTTGAAAGGCAACGTACGATATAATTGTTTGTGTACCATTAATTTCTCTAAAGATGAATTGCCCCAGGGGTGAAATCCAGCAGGTTTTGGAGAACCTGTAGCAGAAATTTTGAGTAGTTCGGAGAACCGGCAAATACCACCTCTGACTGGTCCCAGATTGGGTGGGAATGGGGATTTTGCAATATCCTTCCCCCAGGAGTGGGAAGGGAATGGGGATTTTGCAGTATCCTTCCCCTGCCATGCCCACCAAGCCATGCCCACCAAGCCACACCATGCCCACCAAGCCACACTCACAGAACCAGCAGTAAAAAAATTTGGATTTCACCACTGAATTGCCCCATATCGTTCATCCTTTCCTAAACTATTCTTTTCATTCCTTGGCCTTTCTTTAATCTCTGACCTTTACCTGTTTGTGTACTGAGTGCTGCAGTAATTTCCATGTTACTTTCACTTTTAATTTCTTTGCTTTTGTTTCCCTTTTTCTAATTTATGGTTGGCTTGCTTTCAGGACAGGAGAACGTAGTACAATCTTTTGCAAATTGCCTGGGGTGCTGGCATCCCATAGATCCTAAGAGTTTGGAAGTGCTTCCTATTGTGAGATTCACCATACGGCAATTTAACAATCAAAGTCAACAATCCGCCTTATTCGAAGTTAAAGAAATGAAAAAAGCGACCCGTCAGGTTGGTATAAGGTAAAGGTAAAGGTTTCCCTTGCACATATGTGCTAATCATTCCCGACTCTAGGGGGCGGTGCTCATCTCCGTTTCAAAGCCAAAGAGCCAGCGCCGTCCGAAGACTTCTCCATGGTCATGTGACTAAACGCCAAAGGCACACGGAACGCTGTTACCTTCCCACCAAAGGTGGTCCCTATTTTTCTACTTGCATTTTTTACTTTCGAACTGCTAGGTTGGCAGAAGCTGGGACAAGTAACGGGAACTCACCCCGTTACGTGGCACTAGGGATTTGAACCGCTGAAGTGCCGACCTTTCGATCGACAAGCTCGATGTCTTAGCCACTGAGCCACCACATCCCTCACGGTGGTATATGTTGGTATATGTTGGTATATGGTATATATTGGTCGGTATATGTTGCAATAATGCCCCATTTTAACTTTCCAGAATTAGGTGATTTGGATGGATTTATAGTTAAATCTGAAAACGTGGAATGTCCTCCCCTTGGGTATGTTTGTGAAACCTTCACTTGTTTAAAAAAAAACAACAGCCCAGTCAAATCTTGGTAAAACACACAAATTATAAATATAATTCGGATAGTAGTCTGTGTGGTTTTATTTAAACTACAGTGGTACCTGGATACTTGTCATTAATTGGTTCTGGGAGGTGCGATGAGTACCAAAAATGATGAGTACCAAGCAAATTTTTCCCATATGGAATAATATAAATAAATATCATGTGTTCCCAAACAAAAACCAATGCACATTTTTAAGGCAATACATAAAAAGATAGGATTGTATATCATTACTTTACATCAGGGGTGAAATGCTCCCGGTTCAGACCGGATCGCCCGATCCGGTAGCAATAGCGGCAGATGATTCAGAGAACCAATAGCAAAAATCCCTGCCCACCCCCCACCATGCCCAGCTGAGCCGCACGATCATCAGAGGCTTTTTTTTTTTACTTTTTAAAAAGCTTTTTTTCTACAACTTCTTCCGTCAAAAAATTGCTTTTAAAAGTAAAATAAAAAAGCCTCTGATGATCGCGCGGCTCAGCTGGGATTGTCAGAGGCTTTTCAAAGCATTTTTTTAACCACCTCTTCCCTGGAAGAGGTTGCAGAAAAAAATGCTTTAAAAGTCTCTCTGACGATCCCAGCTGAGTTGCCTGATCATCATATAGGCTTTTAAAAAATTATCTGACGATCAAACAACTCAGCTGGGATTGTCAGAGAGGCTTTTTAAAAAATTCGTTTTTTTGCATTTTTTTGCATTTGCAGAAAAAATGCTTTGAAAAGTTTAAAAAAAAAAGTTGGCCACGCCCACCCAGTCACATTACCCCCACCACCACCAAGCCACACGCACAGAACCAGTAGTAACAAATTTTACATTTCACCCCTGCTTTACATGAGAAGTTTTTAAGAAGAGATTAGACAACCATTTGTCTGAAGTGGTGCAGGGTTTCCTGCCTGAGCAGGTGGTTGGACTAGAAGACCTCCAAGGTCCCTTCCAACTCTGTTATTCTATTCTAAATACTTAAAAACAATTTAAAAGTCAGCCATCAATACACCCCAATCAACATCTAAAAAGCCATATACAACAGGCACTATAAATATCATACACCAGGCTTCAGCACGAGTCTGAAAGCTCGGAAGACTTAACCGCTTGTCCCGATGACCGACCCAGATTAGATCCTGCAACATTATCCTGGGACACATATATTCGCCTTCATTCACAAGAAATACTTAGATTAAATTTAAAAAAAACTTCACTTTACCCGTGCTTGTGGGCTGCCACAAAGAAGAAGGGGTCAATTTATTTTCCAAAGCAGCAGAGGGCAGGACAAGAAACAATGGTTGGAAACTAACCAAAGAGAGAAGCAACCTGGAATTAAGGAGAAACTTCCTAACAGTGAGGACAACTAACCAGTGGAACAGAAGTTGCCTTCAAAAATCATGGGCGCTCCCTCACTGGAGGTTTTTAAGAAGGGACTAGACCCATGATGGTGAACCTATGGCACACATGCCACAGATGGCACACGGAGCCATATCGGTGGGCACACAAGCATTGCCATAGTTCAGCTCCACCTTCGGGCCCACCAGAAGTCGGGAAACAGGCTGTTTCCAGCCTCTGGAGGCCCTCTGGGGGTGGGTGGGAAAAGCCCGTTTTTTGCTCTCCCAAGGCTCCAGAGTCTTTCTAGGAGCCTGGGGAGGCCCTCTGGAGGCTGGAAATGGCCTGTTTCCCACTGGTCGTTGGCAAAAGGGCCATTTCCAGCCTCCAGAGGGCCTTCGGGGGGGTGGGGAAGGCTGTTTTCGCCCTCCCCAGGCTCCTAGAAAGGCTCTGGAGCCTGGGGAGAGTGAAAAACGAGCCTACCAGGCCCACCATGCCATCACGTGCCAAAAGCGGGGGAAGCACAGGGAGTCACACGTCCATGCGTGGGGGTGTGCATTGAATTATGGGTGTGGGCATGCATGTGTGCGACCCCCTGTGCTCCCCCCGCTTTTGGCACACGACAGCAAAAAGGTTAGCCATCACTGGACTAGACAGTCACTTATCTGAAATGGTATAGGTTCTCCTACTTGAGCAGGAGGCTGGACTAGAAGACCTCCAAGGTCCCTTCCAGCTCTATTCTATTCACTTGTACCGATGAGGAAAAGAAGCACAAAAATACACAAGATGATCACAGACGCTAAGATAAAACTACACTGACTTTTAAGTGGTTTTTAAGTATTTAGAATAGAATAGAATAACAGAGTTGGAAGAAATCTTTTTATTTTATTTTATTTTTTTATTAGATTTATATACCGCCCTACTCCCGAAGGACTCAGGGCGGTGAACAGCCACAAAGTAAAACACATAAATACAAAATTTAAAAGCAGAATAAAATCGAATTAAACAATTTGGCCCAAGACAAATTTAAAACACCCCAATAATTTAAAACAGATTAAAATGTATATTGTAAAAAGAACAAAGAAAAAAGGGGAAAAAATTAGGCTAGGACAGCTTGGTGGAATAAAAAGGACTTGAGAGTGTGACGGAAAGTGCACAGATCCAGGATCCTCCGTATCTCCGGGGTGGGGAGCTCGTTCCAGATAGTAGGTGCCCCCACAGAGAAGGCCCTCCCTCTAGGGGTTGCCAGTCGACACTGTTTGGCTGACGGCACCCGGAGGAGCCCCTCTCTATGAGAGCGTACCGGCCGGTGGGAGGCTGTTTGTGGTAGCAGGCGGTCCCGTAAGTAACCAGGTCCCGAGCCATGGAGCGCTCTAAAGGTGGTGACCAAAGCCTTGAAGCGCACCACTCTGTGCATATCTTGGAGATATGCACAGAGTAAGAGTTACTGCATGACTAACGTGTCACCTTTGTTTTGGCTGGAAGGAGTAGTGAGTCACGAGGCAACTGACACCAACAAGTTCTAGCTTCCACGTTGAGTACCAAACAAATGTCAAGTACCGGGACAAAATTTTCTCGTCAAAATGCGTTGAGTACCAAAATTCAATGAGTTTCAAAGCAATTGAGTCCCAAAGTACCATTGTAATTTCTCTTAACAAGATACTTGTTCTGTGCAACTTCTCTTAAATTTCTTGCAGGTGGTTAATGGATGGAATTACAATTTGGAATATTCGATAAAAGAAACAAATTGTTCCAAGAGTGAATTTCTAGATTTGAGCCCAGCATGTAGACATCTTCCTGAAGGGGTAAGTTAACTTCTTTTATGTCATATTCCTAGGCTAGGTAGATAAAGATAGATGACAGATTAGATAGAGATAGATAGCTGATAGATAGATAGATAGATAGATAGATAGATAGATAGATAGATAGAGATAGATAGACATAGATAGATGACAGATTAGAGATAGATAGATAGATAGATAGATAGATAGATAGATAGATAGATAGATAGATAGATAGATAGATGAGCCACGGTGGCGCAGTGGTTAGAGTGCAGTACTGCAGGCTACTTCTGCTGGCTGACTGCAATTTGGCGGATCGAATTTTACCAGGCTCAAGGTAGATTCAGCCTTCCATCCTTCCGAGGTGGCTAAAATGAGGACCCAGATTGTTGGGGGCAATATGCTGACTCTATAAACTGCTTAGAAAAGGCTGTAAAGCACTGTGAAGCGACATATAAGTAAGTGCTATTGCAATAGAGATAGATGGATGGATAGATAAATGATAGATGGATGATAGATAGAGATTATCTCTCTCTCTCTCTCTCCCTCCCTTCCTCCCTCTCTCTCTCCATTTACGATAGTAAGACCTGGAAAAACACAGAGAAATACAAATAATGGAAAAATATTCCATTACTTCCTTTGAGATAGATCAGCATCAGCAATATGGGCCATGTCAGGATTAGCAAGATTAAAAAACTCAGTTTGTTAAAAGAATTCTGCCTCAAGATTTGAAGAGATGAAAGCTTTTCCCTATATCCTGCAGAATGGTAGAGGCCAAGATAATCTGATGCCATGTGCATATAGCAAAAGGCCTTCTCTCTGGGTGCAAGTTATCTGGAATAGGGGATATGTATTCTGTGCATGAGCTCGTACTTTGTGCCAGTCATACTCACAGGGATGCCATCTGGAAAAACTGAGTGAAACAAAGGAGCTGCTTGATAAAATGCACAGTTTAGCCTTCTCATATATTTTTTTTTCCTTTTCCAGCAAGAAGGTTCCTGTACAGTTACTGCCCACATTGACAATGCAAACACACTGGTCCATGCACAACAGGATTGCAAAGTGCAAGGTTTGTAACTATTTATTTATTTATTTATTTATTTATTTATTTAACACATATTTATATGCTGCCCTTTTCCCAAGGGACAAAGGGCAGCGAACACAAGCTAAAAACATACAATGATAAAAGAAGAATCTAATTAAAACCAATTAAAGTCAAAATAATAAATAATAAAACCCCAGAATCAGAACTCAGCCCAAATGGCCCATTTGTTGACATAGCCAAGTCTTTAGGTCTCGACGGAAGGAGCGGAGATCAGGCGCCGTCCGGAGCTCGGTGGGTAACTCATTCCAGAGGGTAGGAGCGCCCACAGAGAACTTTTATTTTATTATTTATTTGATTTGATTTTTATACCGCCCTTCTCCAGCAACAAGTGCTTTGTAACCACTTGATTCAGAAGTGTTTGAAGTATCTTGGCGATGACAAATTCATATTGCATGCATTCAGTTCTTTAGGATCTTCTACTATACCATGTTTCCCCGAAAATAAGACCGGGTCCTATATTAATTTTTGCTCCGAAAGACGCATTAGGTCTTATTTTCTGGTTAGGTCTTATTTTGGGGAAAATACAGTACATTTAGTACAGATGCACCATCTGTCTGACAATCTTAACTGAGGCTTATTTTGGGGTTAGGGCTTATATTACAAGCATCCTAATAAATCATGCTAGGACTTATTTTCCGGTTGGGTCCTATTTTCAGGGAAACAGGGTAGATGTCAAAGCCCTGATAAAGTTGTTGAACTAGAGTTCCCATAATCATCCTCCTCTCTGGCCATACTTCCAAAAGATGCAGGGTATAGGTAGAACCCATCAGGCCTCAGCCAACCAGACAAAGTAGAGAGGTTGATGCGACTTGCAGTTCAAGATTTGGAGACACAAAGATTGAAGGGCGGAGGTTTACTCTCTGAGCTTGTGGGTTGGTTTCTGAACATTTCGTTAGCAGGTTCCCTAAACGCCGCTGAAGATGTTACTTAGCCTGGTAATGAAATCTTTGGAAACCAACCCACAAGCTTGGAGAACGAACCTCCACCCTCATCCTACACCTGAACTACAGATATTTGCCACCATCACAAACAATCATTGGCCATCTAAAAACAGAAATGATCAAAAAGCATCAGGTTAATTTGGCTTCCAGAATTACTTACAGCCTGTCCCTGGGTTAAAAATGTTTGACTTAAGGATGGCTCATAGATATGAAGGAGCTGACACTTACTAAAATTGGTGGACAGCATCCTCCTTCCTCAAGCCAATAAAATGCTGATGCCGCATGTTTTTGATATACACGTAATCCCTGGTTTTCGAACATTCTGTTAGTGAATGTTCGAAGTTATGCGATAAGCACCTCGTAGAGTTTGCAAACAAGGCCCGAAACTATGCATCTTGCAGCACCACAGCTGTTGTTCGTCCTTACAAACAATCGCAGAGGCTCTGCAACATTTGTCCTGCATGTTGTCGGCTGAAATGGAACTTCTGAGGGGCAGATCCACCCCTCGGAAGCTCCATTCGGGCATCCAGAGGCCTCCCTTGGAGGCTTCATTTGGGGCCTGCAACGGGCCAGGGGAGGCCTATGGAGGGCCAAACAGAGAGTCAGAGGGCCGGATTCATCCCTCAATAGCTCCATTTTGCCCTGCAATGAGCCGGGGGAGGCCCGCGGAATCCCAAACGGAACTGCACGTGGCTGAGAGGCTGAAGAGGAGACTGCTTGCTAGTCTCCTCTTCAGCCTCTCGCTAGGCAGAGTGGCAGATTGGGGGGAAAGCAATTTGGGGACCATGAGGTATTTGTTTGTTTGTTTGTTTATTAAATTTATATACCACCCTACTCCCGAAGGACTCAGGGCGGTGAACAGCCATAAAATAAACCATATAAATACAAAATTTAAAATAGAGATAAAACAAATTAAATAAATTTGGCTGAACCATTTTAAAACCCCAATAATTTAAAACCAAATTTAAAATTCCCATTTAAAAAGAGGAAAAGTTTAGGTCAGGCCAGCTTGATGGAATAGGAACGTCTTAAGCGCGCGGCGGAAGGTACGTATTTCAGTGGGTCAGGGAGCCCTTGAGTGGTCTTAGGCAGGTGGCCGGTTCCATCAGTAGGAACCCCCCCTCCCATGGCCTTTCCTACTGTGAAATACCTCACATGCGCTTAACGAGCCTCGCATTCAATTAGCAAATGCATGGGCGAAAGGAGGGAGTGATCCCATTCAAGATACGAGATTCACTCCCACGAATCCTTGGGTTACGAATAGAATAGGAAGGCTCCATTACATTCGTAACTCGAGGACTACCTATCCAGCCTGTTTTCAGCAGTTTTCAGTGGTTCCTGAAAGTAACCAGTGGCTCAAGGAAGGACAATGCTGTCTGCCATTTTTAGTACAGGTAGTCCTCGATTTACGACCACAGTTGAGCCCAAAATTTATGTTGTTAAGTGAAAAAATTGTTAAGTGAATATTGCCCCATTTTACGACCGTCATAAACACGAGCCAGTTGTCAAGCATCTGAATGTAAAGCATGTGACCATGGGCAATGCTGCCACGGTCATAAGTGTGAAAAATGGTCATACGTCACTTTTTGCAGTGATGTTGTAACTTTGAATGGTCACTAAATGAACTTTGGTAAGTCGAGGGCTACCTGTAATAGGCAGTACTATATAGAGGAATGGAATAAAGCATTCTTTTTATATACATAAATTGGTGGCCATGATGCAACTCTAGATAATAACCACAGTAAATTTCAAACTGCTACAGAACAATTTGCACTCACACATTTTTTTTGCATGGCCAAAATGTGTTTAATAATCTCTTACAAAAAAAAACAACATAAATGCAGGCTGCTATTCTTGTTAGTCTTTCCTTTTTACAATAACCTGTTATAAACCTGTGTTTTTCATCCATATATTTTCATCAGTTGAAGAAAAAGTGGGACTGCCCATTCATGTGTGTCGTGGCTGCTCCCGCCCGATTGCAACGGATAGCCCAGAACTAAAGGAGCCTCTGCAAATTGCTATAGAATCCTTTAACGCAAAAAACAACAGTGACTTTCATTTCAAAATTATAGGAGTCATAGAAGCAACAAAACAGGTTTGAATTTTATCTCTACCGCTGTATTGCAACTTCGCTAAGAAAACCTGGTCTGAACCTGGATCCAGGGGTGCTATTCAGCAGGTTCTGACAGGTTCTGGAGAACTGGTAGCAGAAATTTTGACTAGTTCGGAGAACCGGCAAATACCACCTCTGGCTGGGTGAGAATGGAGATTTTGCAGTGTCCTTCCCCCAGGAGTGGGGCGGGAATGGGGATTTTGCAGTATCCTTCCCCTGGAGTGGGGAGGGAATGGAGATTTTGCAGTATCCTTCCCCTGCCACGCCCACCAAGCCACGGCCACCAAGCCACAGCACACCCAAGCCACGCCCACAGAACCGGTAGTAAAAAAAATTGAATTCCACCACTGTTCAGATCCTCAGGCTGCAGAAACTTTGCATTGATAAATGACAAATAAATAAATAAAGTGTGTTCATTATTTCCATTAAAAAAACCAATGGAGCCTTTGGAAGCTATTCTGAAATACAGGTAGTCCTTGACTTACAACAGCTTGCTTAGTGACTGTTCAAAATTACAACAGCACTGAAAAAAGTAATTTATGATCATTTTTCACACTTATGACCTTGCAGCATTCCCATGGTCACGTGATTTGCATTTGGATGCTTGACAAGTGACTTACATTTATGACGGTTACAGTGTGTTCTGACCCAGGCTTCCTGAGACAGTAACAATCACATGCTTAGTCCCAAAAACCATCTTTTTATTTCCACGGCTGCGAATTATGTTCATTCACAGCCTGTAATGAATCCCAAGCAGTTTGTGACGACAGAAGTCTGCCACAGTCTTTTGGGATAAGGCTGATAAGCACCCACCTTTATCTCCCTTGAAACGCTGCCAAAGACCTAATTGCCAATTAGCTTTGCAAGGCCAAATGGAGCACAAAGTCAAAATGGAGCTTCAGAGTTCAAACTGACCAGAACAAACAAAGTTGCTTCCTGCAAAGGCTCATGTCCCTTTGCTCCTCCTTTATGTCTTATGGGAGGGTCCAATCATCTCCAAGCCTCGTTGATGTCCGACTCTGGAAACTCCGGAGTCAGCACATAACTCCCAGATGGCCCTGGCCAGTGGTGGGTTGCCCCCGGTTCGCACCGGTTCTATAGAACCGGTAGTAAAACTGGCGGGAGGCCCCGCCCACTGACCCTGACGTCATGAAAACGCTTCTGCGCATGCGGCCCTGTTGCGAACTGGTAGTAAAGGTAAGTAGAACCCACCCCTGGCCCTAGGCCCATGTCCCGGGGTCATGTGATCCCCTTTTGCGACCTTCTGACAAGCAAAGTCAACAAGGAAATCAGGTTCACTTAACAACCGTGTTACTAATTTAACAACTGCAGTGGCTCACTTAACCAATGGGACAAGGAAAGTCAAACAAAACTCACTTAACAAATGTTTCCCTTAGCAACATAAATTTTAGGCTCAATTGCGGTCGTAGGTTGAGGCCTACCTGTACTTAAACTGTTCTAAAGATGTAGAAGTAATCAAAATTACAAATAGCTTTGAACTCTGCCTGTATGTAGTACTATATTGCAATTGTGGATTTTTTAAAAAATCTGGTTTGGATTCAAACAGTCACCTCTGAGCTTCCCAGCTCTGCAGAAAAAATTTTTATACAGGAAGACCAGAGATTTTTATATCTTAGAGACCAGAGGTGGGTTTCAGCAGGTTCTGACCAGTTCTGGAGAACCGGTAGCGGAAATTTTGAGTAGTTCGGAGAACCGGTAGTAAAATTCTGACTGGCCTCGCCCCCATCTATTCTTTGCCTCCCAAGTCCCAGCTGATCGGGAGGAAATGGGGATTTTGCAGTATCCTTCCCCTGCCATGCCCACCAAGCCACGCCCACCAAGCCACGCCCACAGAACCAGTAGTAAAAAAATTTGAAACCCACCACTGTTAGAGACGTAGTGCAGATACAGATAGTCCTGGACTTATGAACACAATTGAGCCCAAAATTTAAGTTGCTAAGCGAGACGATTGTTAAGTGAGTTTGGTCCCATTTTACGACCTTTCTTACCACAGTTGTTAAGTGAATCCCTGCAGGTGTTAAATTAGTAACACGTTGTAAATCGAACTTGGCTTCCCCATCGACTTGGCTTGTGAGATCACAAAAGCCAATCACATGGCCCGGGAATACTGCAACCTTCATAAATATGAATCCGTTGCCAAGCAGCTGAGTTTTGATCATGTGACCATGGGGATGCTACAATGGTTGTAGGTATGAAAAAAAGTGTTCTGCCCCAGTTACAGACCCAAAGAACGCAGCACACACAAAGTCCGTTCAAACCTTAGTTTAATAAATTAAATCAGTCTTTTATAACAACGGCTGTTAATTAAGTGCATTAACAGCTGGCCAAGAATTCAAAGAAGAATAACTGAAAACTTACTATGGTTGGCAGAATGCCCAGAAGCAATTTGCAGGAAGCTGATAAGATAAGCAAGACAAGACACAAAGGTATGTGAACTAAGTTGTTCCCTGCAACTTAGTCAGCGTTCCTCCTTAAATAAGCTAAGGCAGGGGTGGGCAATTGTGGCTCTTTTACAACCTGTGGACTTCAACTCCCAGAATTCCTGAGACGGCTGTCTCAGGAATTCTGGGAGTTGAAGTCCATAGGTTGTAAAAGAGCCACAATTGCCCATCCCTGGGCTAAGGGAGTGGCCAATTAGCCCCAAGCCTTACTCTCAAGGAGACCTCCTCCTGAGGAGCCACTCCTGCCTTTTGGCAGCTCTGTGTGCCCGTGCATCGAGAAGGGGCTCCTCCTCTTCGTCCTCTTCACTTAAGGGAGCTTCTGGAGGTTCTGAAGGCCCTGGCTGAATTCCCGCTTCTGGCACCACATCTTCTCCAGCCTCCTCATTGTCCGACTCGAGTGCCAGCTGCACAGGCTGCTGGCGCAGCACCACACCAGCCTCATCGCTGTCTGAATCAGCTACAATCCGCACAGGCCGCGTAAGGACCACAACAAAAAGTCATAAATCAGTCTTTTCAGTGTGTCGTCATAACTTTGAATGATCACTAAGCAAACTGTTGTAAGTTGAGGACTACCTATTTTGTCAAAGTGTCTGGAGACTGAAAGCTGGAAGGCATCAGCTAGGAAAGGCCATTAGGCAGCAGAAACTCTATGCCTCAGGAGCATGACTTTGGCAGCAAAGCACATACTTGTGGGCAGAAGATCTCAACTTGAATCCTTGACATCTCCAGTAAGCATTGGGAAAGACAGGAATTCCTGATCCAAACCTTGCAGAGTCCTGTCAGTCAACATCAAGTATTCTGGGCATTGTAGGTCAATGGTTTGACTTGATCCACGGCAGCTTCTTATATGCCTCTAAGGGACGGCCATCTTTCTTTGGCCCTTTTATTAGAATCCTGGAGAAGGAATGGATCCTTGGGGCCACAGAATCCAACATGAGATGATCAGATAGCAAGCCAAGGTTTTTTTGTTTGTTTTGTTCTTCCTGGTTCATGCTATTCAGCATCCGGTCTAAATACCCTCAACACTGTCAAACTATTCACTCAGTCTGCATTACTACAGTATTACTATTAGTCTTCTCATCATTCCTATCACCCATCTCCTCCCACTTATGACTGTTATGACTGTAACCTGTTGCTGTATCCATACGATTTATATTGATTGTTTCCTAGTATGATTCAATTGCTTATTTGTACCCTATAACTATCATTTAATGTTGTACCTTATGATTCTTGACGAACGTATTTCATTCTCCTTATGTACACTGAGAGCCTATGCACCAAAGACAAATTCCTTGTGTGTCCAATCACACTTGGCCAAAAAAGAATTCTGTTCTGTTCTGTTCTGTTCTGTTCTGTTCTGTTGTTCTGTTCTGTTCTGTTCTGTCCTGTCCTATTCTATTCTATTCTATTCTATTCTATTCTATTCTATTCTTCTATTCCTATTCCTATTCCTATTCCTCCAAGATCCCTTCCAACTATTTTCTATTCTATTCTATTCTATTCTATTCTATTCTATTCTATTCTATTCTATTCTATTCTATTCTATTCTATTCTATTCTATTCCTATTCCTATTCCTATTCCTATTCCTATTCCTCCAAGATCCCTTCCAACTATTTTCTATTCTCTATTCTATTCTATTCTATTCTATTCTATTCTATTCTATTCTATTCCTATTCCTATTCCTATTCCTATTCCTATTCCTATTCTAAATGCAGCTGCTAATCATTTTTCTCCTTGAATTTCAGATTGTGGCTGGGACAATGTATCGATTTGAATTTGTAATTCAGAAAACAAATTGCTCCAAGGCTGAAGTTGAGAAGTTAACTGAAGATTGTACCGCTGCTGAAGATGGTGTAAGACCCTGGGATTAAGCCTATGGAGATTCTCAGTCATCCAGGTCATGGTTGTCCCAAAGGGGCTTTTTCAAAAGCCATCTGGAGTTTCTTGGTTTTCCTTGAAGACATTTCGCTTCTCCTCTCTTGGAGGAGAAGCGAAACGTCTTCAAGGAAAAACAAGAAAGGCCCAATTGCCTTTTGAAAAAGCAGTTTCGGGATGACACTGGGATTAGTTCAAGAGGAATATTTCAGAATATACAGAAGTTTTGGGAGCTTCATCACTGGAAGCTTCCAAGAAGAGACTGGACTGCCATCTGTCAGAAATAGTGTAGGGAGGGGTGTCAAACCCGATTTCATTGAGGGCCGCATCAGGGTTGTGCTTGACCTCGGGGGGGGGGGGGGGGGGGGGATTGGACAGGGTGGGCATGGCCATCTTGACATCACTCATGTTGGGGGCGCCTGTAGTGGCCCAAGCGAAAACGGAGCTTGGGAGGGCCACGTGCAGCCTTCGCGAGCTCCGTTTACAGCTGCAACGGCCTCCTGCAACCCTCCGCCAGTAAAAACAGAGCTCAGGAAGACCCGTGTACGGTCCTCCGGAGCTCCGTTTTTGCTGGCAGAGGCACTGCGGGGCAGTCCTTCGTTGTTTCCATGGCAACCAGGCAGGCCAGATATAAGCACCCCTGCAGGCCGGATGCAGCCCGCGGGCCTTGAGTTTGACACCCCTGGTGTAGGGTCTCCTGCTTAGGCGGGGGGTCGGACTAGGTGACCTACAAGGTCCCTTCCAACTCTGTTAATCTGTTAATTTTACTTCAGAGAACAAGAGTTAATTTTAAAGTTCATACTTGAAATATAATGGTGAGAAATGATGCAATTTCCCATAGATCAGTGTTTTTCAACCTTGGAAGCTTGAAGATGGCTGGGGGATTCTGGGAGTTGAAGTCCACCCATCTTCAAGCTACCAAGGTTGAGAAACACTGCCATAGATGAATATTAAGCCTTGAGGTAATCTTTCTGATAGGACAATCCTATGTATCTCCACTCAAGCTCTAAACCCTAACTCAAACAAACCAAAGGATTAATAGGATGGCCTCATGTCCACTTTGAACTACCAAGAGCCATTTTTTTGGTTTACTAAAATACTATAATTTGTTTGAACTTTGAACTATGGTGCTAGAGAAGACCCCTGCAAGTCCCTTGGACTGCAAGGTGATCAAACCGGTCAGTCCTAGAGGAGATCAACCCTGACTGCTCTTTAGAAGGCCAGATCCTGAAGAGGAAACTCAAATACTTTGGCCACCTAATGAGAAGAAAGGACTCCCTGGAGAAGAGCCTAAAGCTGGGAAAGATTGAGGGAAAAAGAAGAAGGGGACAGCAGAGAACAAGGTGGCTGGATGGAGGCACTGAAGCCGTCAGCCTGAGCTTAAATGGACTCCAGAGGATGGTGGAGGACAGGAAGGTCCAGGGGAATGTTGTCCATGGGGTCACGATGGGTCGGACACAACTTCGCAACTAACAACAACATAATTAGTTACTAGAAAATCTTAGTAAGAAAATAGCATTGGGATAAAATTAGGTGAAGTAGAGCTCCATAAACCAGTTTTTCCCCTCAAACAGGTGCTGGGTCATCTAGAAATTAAGATTCCCAACACATTTGCACATCCCTTCATTGGGAGTGGTCACATATATGCACACGGAGACACACAGATCCAGACACAAAATGATATAGGGGTAATAGGTCATGATTTTATTGTATTAATTTATATTCCCTGACTTAACCTTCTAAAAGAATTGTTCTTCCCCAAATCATAGACCAAAGTCATCAAAATAGTCAGAAAACAAATATTTTGTCATCTTTTGGAAAAATGAACATTTTCCCACAATGGCACTCAAATTATAATTATTCTATGTCAGGGGTCTCCAACCTTGAATTCTGGGAGTTGAAGTCCACAAGTCTTAAAGTTGCCAAGATTGGAGACCCCTGTTCTACGCCATAGATTGTTTTTTACACCAATGTTGAACAAGAAATCAGTGTGTCCCCTTTTGTTTTGTTTGGGTATGACAGAAGCAGTTGTTCTGCCGTGGCTGGGTTTACATGAAACTCTGGGAGTCATTCATTCAACATCAAATAACCTGCAGCGAGGCCCGAATTTCAGAGGTATTCAAATCTGCCTTCACCCTCTCCCCAATTACATTCTCCTCCTAAAAACAGAATGTGAAAATCAGCATACAGGCCCAGAGAAATTGGTATATTTCCCAAGGAATTGGTAACCAGCTTTTCAGATATTCAGTTTATAAAGTTATGAAGATAAATTAAAGGAAGTGGTAAAGAAGAAGTTCAAGAAATATGGTGTGCAGTGCACTCATGAAATTGTTTTCCTCTTAAAAATGGTTAAAAGCTCATTGGGGTTGGAGCATAGCATACATGAGCAGGGGCAAATGTGATGCATTTGGACCAGAATGTTTCCTCTGCCAACCAGAAGTCCAGTTCCCCCACCATAGCGTCTCCTACTAGTGCAGCTATTAACTGTGGAGTGACAGGGAGCTGAAGCAAAGGAATGAAAGAGCCACATGCGGCTCCAGAGCCACGGATTGCCAACTAGGGGTGAAATCCTACCGGTTGAAACCGGTTCGGGGGAACTGCTAGGGATTATGGGCATCAGTTCGCCAAACTGATAGTAATTACCCCTCCTTGGCCCCACCCACGCCCAGCCGGTCGCCATTCACCTCTTCCAGCCGCTAGATATTCCACAGAATTCAATGTTAAATGCAGCAGAGAGAATGCTAACTTTTCTCCTTCCATTCAGAACTGAGCTGCTGCAGCCTGTCCCTTTAAGGTAGTCCCCAGGAGGGAGGGGGAGGGGGGAGCAGCTAGAATGGAGCCGTTTTTGTGAAAGGCAGGAAAATGGGGAAGGGGATTTTCCTGCCTGTCATCCATGCCTCAATCTCAGCACATGCTGAGGGAAGGATGGCAGGCAGGAATATTCCCCTCCCCATTTTCCTGCCATTTGCAACAAGGAGTGGCTGGGAGGCGAGGGGCCGCTGAGGAGCCCCTCGATGTGAGTGAGGTCAAATTGGCCACTCCCACCCAGTCACATGACCTTCCCCCCTAACAAACCACGCCCACAGAACCGGTAGGGGAAATTTTTTAATTTCACCCGTTGCCGACCCCTGTTCTAGGTGGAAGGGAAGGTGCCTATTTCTCTTTAACTTCAGGTAATAAAATGTTGAGTGATGGAAAAAAGATATTCTAGACAGAAGATGGTTGGGCTCAATGTTGGGTTTCAAATAATTTCGCCACCAGTCCACCGAAAATGTGAGCGCGCGCACAGCTTCCGAGCATTTGTGTGCGGACAGCTTCATTGTTTTGGTGATGCTTTCTAAGGCCCACTGGACTTCGCCTGAGGTCTGTGATTACACCTTCATAAATATCAGGGACATTAAGACCTTCCTCGTATAGTTCTTCTGTGTATTCTTGCCACCTCTTCTTCATCTCTTTTACTTTACTATTTTTGTCCTTTATCATGCTCGTCTTTGGAGGAAACGTTCCCTTGATATCTCCAGTTCTCTTGACAGCACCTCTAGTCTTTCCCATTCTATTGTTTTGCTCCATTCCTTTGCTTTGTTCATTGAAGAAGGCCTTCTTATCTTTCTTTGCTATTCTCTGGAAATCTGCATTCAGTTGGGTATGTCTTTCCCTTTCTCCCTTTTCTTTCCCTTTCCTTTTTTCCTCAGCTATTTGCAAAGCCTCATCAGACAGCCACTTTGCTTTCTTGAATTTCCCCCGCCCCCCTCTTTGGGATGGTTTTAATTTTCTGCCTCCTGTATAATGAGGAGAATTGGCTGATATAATTACAGTATATTAGTGCTTTGTTAAAATAGAAATGTGGAATAAATTATGTTAAATGCATTTAAATAAATGCATTGCTTGGATAATTCCCAATAACGAAACAATATTTCAGCTGATACTTAGGGTACCTCCTGGTTTCACCCCTTTCCGAAATGCACGCAGTGTCGCTACTCAAACGGAAGAACCAAGCGTTGTGGAGGACTTCCATCCTGATCCGAGAGGACGCCCCACTCATGAAAAAAAGTTGGTCTATGGCCATGTCCACAAACTCAGACACGGCCACAGACATGGCCACAGACACGGCCACAGACACGGGCATAAAAAGCCAACAGAGAGTTCTTCTGAAGAAGTTACAGTTCTACCAGCTGTTGAAACTCCAAGTCAAGCTTTTCTGGAACAGGAGCCTAACATCAGAAGTACCTCTACAGATCCCCCCATTTTCTTACATCAGCTGCCGGATCTACCAGAACCACCACAATGTCCTGGGACACCATGGAAGCCTAAAAGAGATCCAGAGCCTCTAGATACTGGTTTTAGCGATTTTGATCTTTTGGATGCTCTCCAGGATTAAATTTTTTAAAAGGCAGTGAGTTATTTCTCCAGAAATGTTCTACTCTTGGAAATGAGAAGAGTTCTTGGGATTTCTGACTGCATAAAAGCGTAATACTTAAACACAGTTGCAGCCAAGTTTGGTCGGCAGCATCAGCCTCCCTAGTTTCTTAACGTTTTGCAAGATACAATAGTTAGCCAATAATGAAACAAGGACTGTAATTCAGTCGGCTCGATCAGCCAGCAAGATGCACAACTGCCTTCTACAGAACCAGCATTGCCTGCATTTAACCCTGGAGAAAAATATATTTCCTGGAAGAGAAAGGAGCCTTTGCAGATCTACAGCAGCTCAGTGGGTGAATTATGTTAATTTTCCCTGCAGTCAAGTCAGGCTGGAATTTCAAATGTGATTTGAACTATACTTGATTATTTCCTACGCCATGATTATTTTATGATAAAGCTGTAGTAAGTTCAATACAATTATATTAATTAGCCCACTCTTTCTATTACTGGTTTGTGATCCTTTTTGTTCATACACTTTTCCTTGGCTATCGCAAATAAAAGACATGTACCAAAGCACTTGAAGGCTACATTTGCTTCATTTAAAACATCAGAAAAGTCACTGGAGCTTTAGTGAAATTTAAGACTTCAGAGCCCAAATTCATGAGCAATGAACAATTTCTCAAAATGAAGATTTCCCCATCCCTGATGTTTTGAAAACCTCAAGCTTTGACATATCCATGCATGCCCCAGCAACTGGATCAGTGGTGGGTTTCAAAATTTTTTACTACCGGTTCTGTGGATGTGGCTTGATGGGCGTGGCATGGCTTGGTGGGCATGGCTTGGTGGGCGTGGCAGGGGAAGGATACTGTAAAATCTCCATTCCCTCCCCACTCCAGGGGAACGTTACTGCAAAATCCCCATTTCCTCCCAATCAGCTGGGACTCGGGAGGCAGAGAATTGATGGGGGCGGGGCCAGTCAGAATTTTACTACCAGTTCTCCAAACTACTCAAAATTTCCACTACTGGTTCTCCAGAACTGATCAGAACCTGCTGAAACCCACCTCTGAACTGGATGGTTCTTCCTAGAATGCTTGTCTTGCAGACATGCAGCAAAACATTATTATTATTATTACTATCCATCACACAGGCAGCCAGATGTTTAGGCTGGACTTGGTATTTTTGTCCACCTATCAAGTCCTTCCCAAGGACCTGGGATAGGCAGATGTTGATGGTGTTCAAGATATTGTCACAGGGTGTTGTAAGCTGTTATGAGTAAATTTGGCTTTAACAATTACCATATTTTTCGGGCTATAGGACGCTCCGGACTATAAGACACACCTAGCTTTTGGGGACGAAAACAAGAAAAACAAATCTGCCTCTGCCTCTGCCTCCCAGCACATTGCCTCCTTGCAGCAAACAGCCCGGTCAACTTCAGCACAGCCTCATTTAGCACGAGCAGCTGATTGGCTGTTGGATTTGCCTTCTGGAATATCACCAATCAGCCGTTCCAGACTATGAGGATCGCCACCTCCGCGTGCCCCATTTTCGGCCTCCGCGCACCCCATTTTCAGCCTCCATGCGTCCTGTTTTTGGCCCATTCCAGGTGGCGGGGATCGCCACCGTCGCCTATCCCCACCGCCTGGAACGTGCTGAAGATGGTACGCGCAGAGGCCGTGTTGGAAGAAACATCCTTCTGGGTTCTGCTCCAAGTGGGGAAACAGCACCGAAGGGTGGGGGCCAGTGGGTGGGCGGGGCTTTGGCAACATTCACTCTATAAGATTCACAGACATTTCCATCCATTTTTTGGGGGGGGGAGTACGTCTTCTACACCGAAAAATACTGTGAGTAATGATTTTGCCAATGCCAATGATGTTTAAGGTATTAATTACTATGGGTACTACCTTTGCTTCTTAAAATTCTTAAAATTTATATGCATGATTCCCAGCAACTCCAAGCATTTATGAAGCTTTCCATGATTTAGCTAGGCAGGTTTTCACTTTTCTGATAGTGGGAAGACTTTGCACTTAAGGGAACCAATTGTGTTTTAAGAACGGCTCTCCAGCCCTTCTCAAAGGCAACAGGGAACAAATGATATAAAACTCTTCAAAGACCACTTATCAGATTATCTGGCCTGTGCAAGCAGGGTGCATGTATATCCATGGTAGTGTAGTATAGATGAAAGCCAAAATTGACCACCAAAGCTGTGTAAAGGCCTAGTAAAGGACTATGATTAATTGTAAGGGCAAAACACAGAGCCTGAGAGATAATTTATAGGAAAAGGTAGAACTGCTGGTTTTGTTGTTATTCTTGGCCATCAGATGCCAAAAACCAGCTGTCATCCCTCCCACAAAGTTCAGTTTGTTTTATTTTACTAAATCGATAAGCTGCCTATCTAAATTCTTAGCCTGTGTAAAAATTCCCATCATGCTTTGCAAAATCCATAAGGCTACACAGAGGACATGGCTTTTTTTCTTTCTTGAACATTTAAAATGTACCTTGCAATCTTGAGAGGAGCCAAAAACAGCTTCTAAATCCCTCTGGGGCTCAGGGAGCCCCTCCTTTGGGGCAGGGGGCTGGCAGAGCTGCTAAGGAGACCGTAATTTCCTATCTCCTCCTCCTGCTACCAAAAAGGTTTCCACTCCTCCATTACCAACACAGAAACTCTGGTGACTAGTCTTCTCCCGCGATCATATCCCTCCCAGTAATCTATTTTCTCATTGCTGTTTATAAAAAAGCCTTCGGTAAGCTTGTTTGCAAGGTCCTATTTTACACAGAAAGGTTCCGCTTTCTCTTTTAAGCTGTCCTGCTGATTGACAGCTACGAAGTTATAGTTTGAAGAAACCAATCACAGCCACTAGGTGGCGGTCACTTTACGATCAGAACGCCAGGCACCCTGAAGATACGTCTGAGCTTCTGGTTTCTTCTGTTTAGACCAGAGGTGGGTTTCAGCAGGTTCTGACGAACAGGTAGCAGAAATTTTGAGTAGTTCGGAGAACCGGTAGTAAAAATTCTGACTGGCCCCGCCTCCATCTATTCTCTGCCTCCCGAGTCCCAGCTGATTGGGAGGAAATGGGGATTTTGCAGTAACCTTCCCCTGGATTGGGGAGGGAATAGAGATTTTACAGTATCCTTCCCCTGCCACGCTCACCAAGCCACGCCCACCAAGTCATGCCACGCCCACCAAGCCACACCCACAGAACCGGTAGTAAAAAATTTTGAAACCCACCACTGATTTAGACCATTAGGGGGCAGTAAAGCTGTCTGGGCTTCATAGTCCTCCTTCCTTGCTATCACTCGGCCCGCCAGCTCTGAGAAAAGGTTTAGACTTAGAATAACCTTACTGTCACTTTAAATCAGGGGAGGGTTCTACTTACCTCCGCTACTGGTTCGCAACAGGAGCGCACGCGTGCGCATGCGCTGATAGTTCATGATGACATCCGGGCGGCTGGGTGGAGCCTCCCACTGCCGTTACTACCGGTTTGCAAGAACCGGACCAAACCGGAAGCAACCCACCACTGCTTTAAAGATACATTAATTGGCATACATTAAAATGAACTTTCATTGCATACAGCTCTCAAAGGTTCATCACCTCCAATGTACACTATATAAACATGACAAAATAAATAAATAAATAAATATGCATATGCCCACAGACCCACGTATATTATTATATAACACAGAGAAACAACACAGTCTAGTTCAGATGTATGCATGTACATGGCGGGAAAAACTAATCTTGCAAGTTTACCAGACGGATGGCCTAGGGAACAAAGCTGTTACAGAATCTTCTAGTCCTGCCAGAAATACTTCGAAACCTCCTCCCAGAGGGGAGCAACAAAAACAGACCATTTAGTGGGTGTGAGGGGCCTCTAATAATGCTCCGAGCTCTAATCACCTAGCGCTTATAAGCAGTATCCTGAATAATGGGAAATGAGTTTCCTATAATCTTCTCGGCTGTCCTCACCACTCTCTGTATGGACTTTCTATCTGAGGCGCTGCTGCCCCCAAACAAACAGGGATGCAGTTTGTTAAAACGCTCTCGATCGTGCCTCTGTAAAAAGTGGCCAGGACAGAAGGAGAAAGATGTACCCCGTCACAGGAAATGCAGACGCTGGTTTGTACGGATGGAGAGAAGGACTGAAAGTGTCATGCCAATCATGCTGGTTGGCATGATTATCACCGACCACCTCCAAAGGCTCCATTCGAGGACACCATTCTCTGTTTCAGGTGATACACGGCACTCCGATTTGAGAAAGACGAGATCAGCCCTCCCTGCAGATCACTTTTCACAGCTCTGGCACTGTCGGTTATTGAGCAAGGCTCACATTTCCAAGCTTCCAAGCAAGTTTATGACAGGAAAAATCTAAAAGAAATCCTGCACCAGCAAATCTGTCACATTGGATATGTACTGTGCAACTTGAAGGTTTTTATATAAATGCACAAAGTAGAGAGTTTGGTTATAATGTGCAGCTTTTAAAAATCACTTTACCTAATATAACCCAAAGAAATGCATTATTTTATGAATAATATACTTTCCTAAATAGAAACAAACCATATGCTCTGATCAGCCTCATATAGATGATCTGGAACACAAATCCCAAGGCACGATTGGGAAAAAAAATAGGCAAAACCGGCAGACCTCTTTTTCCATACATCATATTTTAATAGTATTTTTTTTTCCTGCCAAGGATCCATTAAAAACTGTGGTATAGTATGAAAATAATAGGTCCCAGATCTCTAGACTGTGCAGAATATCTACTTTATTAAGTCAATCTTTCTGAGGAAGAAACTATCGATTCATTAGTACTGTATTGTAGAAAACACAAGTCCCAGGCCTTACAAGGAAATTATAACTCCTCTGCACCCAGAATAGTATAGTTTGCACATGATGCATTGGAGAATGCTGTGCACATATCCTTGCGTTGTTTTCTCTGGCTGAAAAAGTTTAACAGATTAACAGAGTTGGAAGGGACCTTATAGGTCATCTAGTCCAACCCCCCACTCAAGCAGGAGACCCTACACCATTTCTGACAAATGGCAGTCCAATCTTTTCTTGAAAGTTTCAAGCGATAAATCTCCCACAACTTCCGAAGGCAACTTCTGTTCCATGGGTTGATTGTTCTCACTGTCAGAAAGTTCCTCCTTATTTCCAGGTGGAAACTCTCCTTGATCTGTTTCCATCCATTATTCCTTGTCTGGCCTCCAGGTGCCTTGGAAAATAGCTTGAGCCCCTCCTCTCTGTGGCAGCCACCCAAATATTGGAAGGCTGCTATCATGTCTCCCCTGGTCCTTCTCTTCACTAGACTAGCCAGGCCCAGTTCCTGCAACCGTTCATCGTATGTTTTAGTCTCCAGTCCCCTAATCATCTTGGTTGCTCTCCTCTGCACTTTTTCTAGAGTCTCCACATCTTTTTATAGTGTGGTGACCAAAACTGGATGCAATACTCTAGGTGTGGTCTTACTAGGGCTTTATAGAGTAGTATTAGTACCTCACTTGAAGGTATCCAGATGCTCAGTAAAAGAAGGCTTTCGTGTCCCTTTTGAAATGTGGGTTTGAATCCTGGCCCTTATTTATTA